GAAAGGAAGTACTTTAGACCCAATGGTTATATAAAAATTGTTTTAAGAAGACATGAGGAATCACACCACAATTTTTTAGACTAATTAGAAAAAACCCTGTATATTGTCAACTTGACAATGATTGTTGATAAATCAAAAAATACCTTTTCTGTGAAAAAAACCCGATTTTCGCAGGAAAAATTTTGGTTTTTATTGAATTTCGGCCTACGTCTGCATATACCGGTATGTTTTTTAATATTCTTATCTATCTAAATTTTAAATATCATAGTCAGAAATAGTTTTATTATTTATTAACTGTAAAAATGGTATACTTATAAGTTTTGCCAAATATTGTGATTTACTTTTTACCTTGTAGTCAAAATTTATATTTAATAAACTGTAAAATATATATATTCTTATGTTTTATTAAAGTTACTTTGATATACTAATATATCAGTGTAACTTTAAAACTAAATCCTTGAAATCAAATATAAAGATAAAAAATATTTACAGCAAAAAAAGGCGAAGGCGCTGGGTTAAACGTAGTCTCTACTAAGAACACGGAGGGGCGCTTTGACCCAAAATTTTACTATTAAGTTTCATATCTATCTTAATAGAAGATTATATTCTTTTATCTATGTACGTGACTTTCAAAACTCAGTTTTGTGTCAAACTTTATTCCCAGAAATCGGACACTGCAGAAATCTACTTTACATTTTGTTTTAAGAGAAAAAATAACTCTTTCTGTTTTGGTGTCATTCAGGCATAATCGGTTTACCTGAAACCAGTCACCAACATTTAACAAAATCGATTCAAAATTAGTTTGAATTTCTTCAGGGGATTTCCGAGCACATAAGATAGTAGTGTCATCGGCAAACAAAATCAAATTATTCTGAAGTGTAGCCACGGGTAAATCATTAATGTAAATTAAAAACAATAAAGGTCCTAATACTGAGCCTTGCGGAACCCCATATTTTACAACACTCACATCAGAGAGCGTACCGTTGGCTAATGTTTGTTGAGATCGGTTTACAAGATAATCAGCCAATAATTTCGAACTCAAATTATTTACTCCATAATATGAAATTTTCTGTAAAAGTATGTTGTGATCCACACAATCAAAGGCCTTGGTAAGGTCACAGAAGACCGAACTAACGTAGTTAAAACGCTCTCAAAACCCTCAATTATATCTTCCATCAAACGGATGCAAGCCATTGTTGTAGATTTTCCTTTACGAAACCCAAACTGATTCTCTATGAACAAGTTATTAGATTCAAAGTAATGTGTTAACTGGTGTTTCAATAAACATTCAAAAATTTTTGAAAGTGTGGGTATTAAAGCCTATAGGTCTATAATTATTCACACTTTCACGATCACATTTTTTAAATGCTGGTACGATTTTGGAAATTTTTAAACAACTGGGATACATACCGTTTCTTATACATCTATTGAATAATTTAGTTAGAGGATATATTAATAAATATATTACTTATTTAACTAGTGAAATGGTCATGTTATAAATATCTTTACTATGCTTATTTTTTAACGAATTTACGGCGTTTCGAGTTTCTATGAAAGTTACCTCTCTAAAGGAAAAATTTAGATTTAAAGGTTTATTAGAAAATTTTGTTATATAGTCAAGCACTGTGCGATTTTCTACGCTCAGAGACTTTACAATATTTTCGGTTATATTCACAAAAAAATCGTTAAAATTATTTGCGCTAACATTCGTACTCACAGTATATTTTATAGGACCTCTGTATGAATTTATTATATCCCATGTAGCCTTCACTATATTGTCAGCGTCTTTAATATATTTCGAGTTTGCTTGTTTTTTGCAAAAAGTAATTTTTGCTTTGTATTTTTTCCTAAAAGACCTTAATTCAGTATTGATTTCCGAGAAATTATAATTGTTTTTCAATAGGCAGTGTTGCCATTCTGTTCCCCTATAAGTAACTGTCCAGTTAACAATCTGTGTATAATAAGAAGTTTCACTTCAAATATGCGCATATAGTGCACATACGATTTTTTTAGCTATGCTTCTTTTCGCTCTGAGCACCATGTCTGGTTTGGTCTGGTTTTATACTTGTTTCGATTTCAACCTCCTCCTCCACTTCTCATTGTTTACGTACAGCAACGAGAGAGATTCGACTAAAAATATCGGGTTTCCGTAGTCCTTTTGTTTACCTTTGCCGTTTAAAAGTCTGGAGCTATAGAGAAGACGGCTCGACGCTCGACGCCACGCTACGTCCGTTCCGCTCTATTACCGAATGTTTTGATAAAAACTTAGCGCCGCCGCCGGTGCCGGTGTTTCGCTGTTCGAAATGCAGTCGTCTATTCCCAATGTTCAACTCGAAATAAAGTGGATGTGGCACGTTACCGAGGGTTTTAAATTATTAAAGAGATGAAATGAAAAGCACTGGTTTGGTTCTTAACAGTATTGGCACTATAGAGGGTGCTACAAATTTGAGCTACGAGCATTGATATCTCTGTAACCGTAAGATACGAACATGGTTAAATTGGGGCAAAGTTGCGCTTTGGGATATTCACCAAGGCGCCATCAAAAAAGTTTTTTTAATCGATTTTCAAATTAGCTGATAATTTGTGAAATACAGAGACCAATTTATTTTTTTTTAATACGAACCTGAATTTTCTATTTCAGGTTTTAAAAGAACTCGGTCTCCTGAATACAATGATATGACACACTTTATACTTTTTTTGGTTTTGGTTACCTTAACAACAATAAAACTATTTAATTATCATTTAAAATAATTTCAAGTCCAAGTCTGTTTTTTTAAATTGTTTAATTTTATTATATTTATCGCAACAATATTGATCAGCGCTAATTAACATTGAAAAAGGAAAATCGAGCCAATTGGAAGATTCAAATAAATATTATCCAGCTCAGCAATTTAAAGATATTATTTTTAACTTTTTTTATTGTGAATTTGAAATCTCAGTGTGCGATCTAATAATATTAAGCGTAGTTATCACTAAATCAACTTCTACAAACTAGATTCTAATGCTCTACATGTTCGAAAGGGTTACCATTCTCCCTATTGCAGAAATTTATTTTTCGTTCAATTTTATTTGTAGTTCTTTGAACTTTCTTCTTATACTTACGAATGCATTTTGTGCTCTTTATTGTAAATGTTGAGATGTATTGATTTCACTTTACCAATAACGTCAAGTAATGTCCCCCAACAGGTCCAAGAACCTCGCTGGCTACTGCTCTGACATTTCCAGTCCATCTTCCGGGGAAATGATTTGATTGTTTATATTTTATTATATTTATGTTATTCATTTTATATTATTGTTACGTTTTTCGTCGGTTCCGTGTGGATAGAAAGTCACAATTTATTTAAACACTATTTATTTAACACTAATTAACAAAACTAATAACGATAAACGACTTATAGAACTATTTACAAACGATTTATAACTAAGAATTTATTTTTGAATTTTTAGCGCGTCAACTGTATATTTATAACTGCCCTCTCTAGGCCACTGCCGCCGGCTTTTATACCGACAGGTAAAAGAAATCTAGAATAGTCCAAAGATCGTTAGGCGCATAGAGAAGGTTTTCGAATGTTCTCGTATGTACGAGTCCATTCTAGTGGGTCTCGATTCTTCTCGAACGAATTATCAGCTAATTAGAAAATCTAAAAATACTAATCTATCAGGTAGCCCTAATAAAGTGGCTGGAGAATGTGCAATTAGTATTTTGATTTTCTAAAAAGTAACGACAGGAAAAAATAAAATTGATTTTCAAAAAAATCTGTTTTTCCAAAAAACTCCGCAATCCTTGAAATTTTTAAACTTTTTTGATGGCGTCTTGGTGAATACCGAATATTAGAGCGCAACTTTATCCCAATTTAACCATGTTCGTATTTACCGAGATACCAATGCCCGTACCTCGAATTTGTATCACCCTGTATGCCATGTGCTATTTGAAAACGAACTCACATTCACGTAGAGGGTGTTCCTTTAAGAATAGCATTTCGCTGTATCTCAAAAAGTACCTCTCGCCAAAGGAGAACATTAGATAGGTTTTTATACCGTTATATCTCGGTTCCCATTGGATGAGAAATGTCATCGATCGTCATTTCATAGCCATCGCTGACGCCGTTTTTATTCGATCATACGGTATTACCCGTAGAGCCTGTGGTAATAAATATGCATAACTAAAGGTGCCATGAGAAATTGCTGGAAATTATTTTCAAGTTTGAGGAATGGCCGCTAGAGGGCGCAACTGCTATGGCATATAAGAAAATTGAATTTTTACAAAATTTTGCTTAGATAAGTGGTACTATAAGTAATGGCTAGGTCGTCATCTTCAGCAAATTTCGGATTTTTTAACAAGTTTACTCCATCTGCTAAAATGCAGTGGTAGAGAAAGGTTAGATCCAGACTGGGTAATGGCAATCCACCAAACTAGGGCTTCTTTAAAAAAAGCGTTCGTACTGTATATTATACCATATAAACAATACTATTGAGCATTTAACAGTAAATGCTAGGGGGCGTTGTTTTACAATTTGGCAGACATGTCGCGTTTTTTCAAAAAAATTAATTGCAATAGTATGTGTTATTTAAGCTGATAAAAAAGGAATAAAAGCTTAAAAAGGCAGCGAAAACCGCATCTTAATATTTTTTCAAACTGATGATACTGAAAATTCTTTACTTTTTCATCCCTGTATATGATATAAACACGTGGCATTCGTGAAAGGTCAAGATACAATTTGTAAAAAAAACTAAATTAAGAAGAGGAAATTGATGTTAAACTTGTATGTAAATTTTGTTCATTCCAGTGAAGCTTTCAAAGTAAGACGGGTTATTATTTACCGATCTGATATTTTACAGAAAATAGCATTAGCTATGCCATTGTTTCGCATACAAACGAGTACTCTACTCCACAGGATAAACGTCCGACAAATGTTAAAACAACGAGTAATTCTGTAATTCAAGACAAACCATTAATTATCAAGTTAATTTTCATTAATCAGCTTATGTTTTGTTTACAGATGGTAAATGTGTGGCCTGTATGTTTAAAGCAAAATTCATAGAAATATCAGTGGGCATCAATCACAACGTAGACGAATTACTGGTGGGCATTCTGACGCAAATTAGACTGAAAGCTGAGAACTACGATGACAGCAGTCACCAGCAACAATGGTAAGTAATCTTATTAAATTTGAATTTTCAGAATTGCATTATTAATGAGACTCGTGCATGAGATTTCGTACATCTTATTTATATTATAAATCAATATAGAGTTTCATACCACGAATCGATGATTCAGAGTTCGAATCCGGGTCGGGGCAAAGACTTTTTTAATTTATTTTCGTTTATAATCTGATAGTAAAGTATTAAATATTTGTTTTTATTTAATTACCAGAATTATTTAATACTTTACTCTCAGAATATAAACGAAAATAAAATAAAAAAAGTCATTGACCTGACCCGGATTCGAACTCTGAATCATCGGTTCGTGGTCTGAAACTCTACGCACTGCGCTATGGTGACATGTTCGATTTATATTCAATACTAGAACTTATAGGACTAAATTAATAAAAAAATATAGGATCTTTTTCCGATGCGCAGTAGTGAACGCAACGGGTATCGGCAGCCAGACGGGCCGCATGCTGTTCCAGAGAGCATAGTAAAAGATATATCAAAGGGCCAGACATCTTAAAATACTATATCGAGAACGTTGTTAGCTCTTAGACTATTAGATTTTAAGAAGTAAGGACAATGTAAATAGTATTTGGCGCTATTCTTATAACGGTCGCGGTCTTTTTCTGAAATTATGTGGCCAAAATATTATTTATTTAAAGGTATTATTCAATTTTCCTTTCATTTTTTTTAATAAAATGCCAGTGTGTTGTATATAAGAAACTTTATTTTATATAAGGACATGTATGAAATACCTATGAAACATTGGAAACCGACGTTATGCCACGATCCACAATGGTTTTTGCAGTTCACAACACAGCTTTTTAAGTTTTTAATGCCACTTTTTCACAATTATCTCGGGTTTGAGTTAATAAAATCGAAATTAAACTCACAAGATAGCAATTATTACTTTGAAAATGGACGCTTTAAACACTTTTCGGTATTTTTTCAATGAGGGCAGTTTAAATTTTGAAAAATTTTATAATTTTTGAGGATTCTGACTTTGACAAGAAAAACTCACGAGAAAAACTTATTTCTGTTCCTGTTTGCGGTTGTTCTTAGCAACCGCTATAGCAGCGCCATACATCGTATGCACCCCAAAACAATTATAAGTTTTGGCGGCAAGCCGAGCATTCCAATCTAAACTTGTTTCCTTTATCTATGCGATGCATGACGGATGCACATGAACTTACTTTTAACTGTCCTTTATATCTCCTGTCAGATGTCATTTCAAAATAATTAAATTATTATTATAAGCCTAGACTATAGATTACATAAAGCTGAAATTGCTTTAGATTAAACTAAAATCTTATTATTTAACGTATCCTAAATTTGTTGTTCTGGTATATTTTGATCTTCTGTTATTTTTCCTTCTGTCTGACATTAAAGAATATACGGTACGAACAAAAACGGTGTCCAGTTGGCTTGGAAATGACGATCTATGACATTCCCCATATAATTTTACATATATAATGACAGCTATCTTCATTTCATATCCATCGCTTACGCCGTTTTTTTTTTCGATCATACGGTATATGAGTTATGTTAAAATTACAGTAAATAACATTAGGTAAAAAAATGTACATTAGTTCAGCAAGGAACTCTGCAACAAAAATCAAACGAATATATGGTTTCAATTTAAATAAACGGATATCACAGTTTAGTAAATTATGAAAGTATTACATTTATATAATTTTTTCACCCGAATGTCCTTTATTGTTGTTTGGCGTAGCTTAAATATGTTCTTTTGTTTACTTCTTATAGTCTAACATGAATAACGAATTCGAATAGCTAATAAAGGAAATTTGATGAAAAATATGTACATGAGATCACAGATTCTGTAAAAAAAGAGTTTATGTTATTGAAAAAGCCTGGATTTTTGCCGTATAGGAGGTATATGTTCTCCCGTTTTCAGATGCAACAAAAAAAAAGAACTATTTAAATTTTCTAACTATAATTATTCATAAGACTGCACTTTAGTTTTTATCAGATACGTCAGATTATACAGGGTGGTTCAAATTGTATTTGAGAAACTTCGGCAGCATACTCTGTAGATAAAACTAAGCAAAAAAGTTCGTATAAATTTATGTCATAAATTGCTTCGTTTTAGAAGTTTAATTTTTGTTTCGGTTTTTTCCAAATAATTCCTGAACTAAAGTCAATATTTTGATGAAAATTGGTACCTGAGTGTTTTTTGACATGAAAATTTTTATTTCGATATCAATATGGCTCCTATTTGTAGGAGGCGCCACCTATATGTTTTTTTAACTAATTTGAAGATTAAAAACTTTTGGTCCGTACCTGTATAAAACAACTGATTAATAATTAAAAATATACATTTCCGAAAAATGTTTGCGTACAAAATGTTTCTTGGTAAAAATCGTTAGGAGCAACCGTTTTCAAGATATTTGGAATGGAAATGGTCAATACATGTCATTATTGACAAAAAATAAGCATGTTAACTAGATAGTTAGTTCACTGATTTTTTTTAGCTAACTATGAATTTTTATAGTAGAAAAAAATACAAATAATCATTAAATAACAATTAGTAGTAGCGGAATTTGGAGAAAGCCATAAAAGCAAAAATAAAAGTCAAACATTTTTGCTACATCTTTCTATTAATTTTTATTGCGTTATTATCATTTATTTATTATTTCTTATAAAGATCTAATGGTATAATTTAAAAAAATTAGTAAGAAATAAAAAAACATATACAGAATTATTCACCTCATTCGGAGTATTGTAGCCACACGATCAGATTTTTAGAAGTTTTGAGCGATGGGATCTTTGGAGGACTACTAAAGCTACAATTTAAAATGATTTTCCAAAGATACAGAGTGTCTCAAATAGGTAACAAGTATCATAGTTGTATATTTTAATGAAACACCCTGTAAATTTTTAGTTTCTACGATTAAAATAAAATCCAATTTAATTAAGGTTTGGATGACTGATTTTGATATATTTACGATTTTGTGAAAATACAGTAACAATTTTAATGCTTCATTTCTCTAGGCGTATTGTTTTAAAACCAAATATTGTACTAAATTTTGTGTTGAGATAATAAAAATAATACTACCTCATATAGAGTAGGTATCTAAAAATTTATTTTAAATAATTACTACCTTTAAACGGCAATAACTTCTTTAATTTAAATGGAACACCCTATATATTTTACGATAATCAGATGCACAATTTAATTGTCTATAAAATTGTTTTATTTCATTTTTTACCTATCTCTTCAAGGTTTCGTAGAAAATGCATTTTCTTATAATTTAGACCTTATTTATCAATATACCCATGGAATCTTGACTTTTTGGATTATTTTTAAAGATATAACAAATTTTCAAAGAATACGAATACTATTATTATCGATATAGTTCCCTTATTTTATTAAAATTATAAAATTTATGAAATATAACATTAATTGACTGTTTGCGTTGATTAATACTTGCTCCAAATACTAAAAAAACTGAATTTTTTATGTGTATTACTTTTCGACCGATAAGATAACGAGACTATTTATTACCTAACATTGAAGCCCGTGATCTCGCCGAAATTTGGTTCCAACAAGATGGCGCCAATTATCATACAGCCCGTGAAACCATGGCTTTACTGCGAGAACGATTCGCTGAACAGATCATTTCACGTGTCAGATCAAGTGCCATCACACCTCTAGACCTTTTCCTTTGGGGCTATGTGAAGTCTAAATTCTCCATGGATAATATTTGTTTAAATAATATTTAAAAAAATACCTCCAAATGAATTACCAGGTATATTGAGGATGGCATTTATTAACAAGCTAAAGCACTGATATGATATTTTGAACCACTCTAAAATTATGGTTAAGTATGAATATGCAGATATATTTCAGATATATTTCCATTGGTAGGTACAATATAGAAATACTAGTGGTACGACTTGAGCAAGCGGTTTCCTGAATCGTAGCATTTGTAAGGCTTTTAGAAAATTGACATTTCTGTTAAAATAATGCTAATAAATCTGGAGAAATATATAATTGTGGAAAAGATCAAACTAAAGATGCGCAATAATCTCAACCATGCAATCCGAAAAATTTGGTAAATTTTTTAACTGTTTTGATAAGCGATACTGTTTACTACTCTTTCTTACCTACTCTCCAATATCAACTATAGGATCTTGAAATTTAATATTTTATAATCTATACTGTTTTTGATTTCTACTGAATTCACTTGGATATAACTTCATTAAACTGCCTAGTTAATCTAGGCTCAGTTTTCAAGTTCACTTATATACTTCCTTTCAAGTTCAGATTAAAGCAGAGCCTAGTTAAAAAGAACGAAGAATTTAATCAAAGGATAAAGAAGAGAAAAGAAGGGTATTTAACCAGAAGACAAAAAATCTAATTTTAGACAGACCAGACGCTGGAGTAATTAATGCAATTGAAGTAATTATAAATTTCATTTTTAAGATGCTAGGATATTACATTTTTTATTAGTGGGTTATTTACTAGAAAGAGACATTTGGTTCATTTAAAGACCTAGAATAAATTAGTATTAAACTTAAGCTGGCTAATATTCTTCTGTACACCAAAAAAAGAATGGGAGTTCCAAAAAAGCTTTCTATTTCAGATTTTTCGAGTATGATACAACCAAAAACTCTATAGTGTTACTTAGATGAATACTACAAATTAATTATTTAAGATCTAAGGTTTAGGAGTATTTTATGTAAAAGTTTCATTGCCCAAAATATTTTGTTTTTTTTTGCATTACTATATTAAGAGTTATTTAGTTTTTCTTGGTTTAATAGACATTGAAATTTTTCATTTTTTTTTCTTCTTTTATAAGCTAAACGCTAACTAAAATTCAAAATTTGAAGTTTGTGAGACTTCTAGAAGGTATACCGGGTGCGTCGCAAAACTGACTCACCCCTATAACTTTATTTTTTCAGATAAAAAAAACGAGATTTGGTATATTAGTACCTATATGACATAATATGACATAAAATAGGATTGATTGACGTATTCAATTGTTTTCGACCACTTCCTGTTTCACCGGAAATGACAACAACTTTTGATTTTTAAATGGCACCCTCAGTATTTTTTTTACTTTATTCGATAGAAAATCACATTCTGAATAGAATATCATATGTCAACTTTTTGACATTCTCGCTTAAAAAATGTGTCGCTGTGTTAAAAACACTAATTTTTAATCAAGGAGCCTCGGAAAAATAAATTTGATCGTCTAATGTTTTTCGTGTCTTGTTTTCATCCTAGCAATATTAAAAGCTGCACAAATCGTGTTTTAATCATATCTCAATTTTTTTCAAATGGAACGAGGGTGGCTCATTAGCATATTTGGAAAAAGAATTTTCTTACGAATAACTTCATACCACAATGTATGATGTAAGCATTTATAAAATTACATTAACATGCTCTCATAAGTACCGTATGATCGGAAAAAACGGCGTCCAGTTAGCTTGGAAATGAATATAATTTTACATGTAAAATGATAGCGATGTTCATTTCATAGCCATCGCTGACGCTGTTTTTTCTCGATCATATTGTATTTTGCGACAAAATTTGAGTAAGAATTTTAACAGAAAATCTGACATAAACTTTTTTCCTAAACAGAGGTTTCCTTTTATACCGTATGGTCGAAAAAAAATGGCGTCCAGTTGGCTGAGAAATGACAATCGATGACATTTCCCATATAAATTGACAGCGATCTTCATGTCATAGCCATCGCTGACGCCGTTTTTTTTAGATCTACGGTACTATACTCGTAAAATACATATCAGTAATTAATTTTTTTTATTATTTTAGGTATAAAAGCAGAGGAATGGTAAAGGCCAGCATGAAAGCCAGACAGATGTTCACATGGTTATTCGGTAAAGAGGATTCGAAATTTAAAAATTGCGAAAATCTCCATATCTTATAAGAAAATTTTAGGTAATATTAACATTTCTAGCTCTTAAGTTCTCTTCTCCTTCTCTAATCTTGCGTACGCCAAACAAATATTTTTTGGATTTTTTTACATAAAAATACTTATATTAAATTTTGATCAAAATTAAGATTCATAAAAAAGATCATAGATAACGGAATTAGACATTTTAGAACAAGCAAAACTTTTTTATGAAGAATGCATTTTTCTCAAAATGTCAATAATAAAAAAGTTTTTCCTCTTGTAAGGACAATCCGGGGACATACTGTATAATACAAAAGGAACAGAAAACAAAGTAACCACCTCAATCTAATATTGTCTAGAAAAAATCCTTCAACTCACTATAGTAGAAAAAAAGTACCTAACTCTGATAACATAGTTCAAAACCCGTTTTTTAAAGAACGTTTAAACATAATACCAAATATGGAGTTAAAATCAGGTAAAAGAAAGAAAAAATGTGTTTTTTTTTCAACCCTGTACAATTTATTTAATATAGTATTACAGTATGTTAAAAATCCAAAAATATTAATTTGCGTCATGCCGAAAAGAAATAAATGAAAAACGAAAAAAACACACAATCAAAGAGAATCAAATTAAACGCAACCAGAGGGCCAATAAATTGTAAAAAAAATCACGTTATCCAGTGTCTTCTATTTGAACCAAAAATTGTACTGTTGGGCTAGGCCCATATTATATATTTATTGTATAATACTTAATACTACTTCTTAAAAGGCACAAAAAGATTTTTTTTTTAATTTTGTACAGTATTCAGTGTATGACAGGCTTATTCAATATGTCCTTCTGTTTTTTATATATTATATAATAGCTCTAAAAGCCAAAGGCTCATGGCTTGATTAGTTATCTTTCTCCATTTGTTTCTGTCTTTCGCCTTTTACTCCAATCTTATCCTTCTCAAGTCCTCTTCAACATCCTCTTTCCATTTGGTTCTCGGTCTACCCTTCCTTCTCTTTACACCTATTTCACCTGTTTGTCATACTAGGAATTCTTGCTTCAGCCATTCTTTCAATGCGTCCCAGCCATCTCAGTCTTTGTGCTCTTGCTACTCCCGTTATACTCGGTGCCCGATATAGTTGCTTTTATTCTTAATTTGTCCTTCTGGTCCATATGTTGTCTATCTTCTTTCCTCCAAAAATCTTCGTCAGTATTTTTCTTTCCCAAATCTCTAGCCTCGAACTTTCCGTTGCATTGAACGTCCGCGTTTCACATGCATACAGCACTATTGGTCGTATCATTGATTGGTATATTCTGATTTTTAAACTTCTAGATATGTTCTTACTCTTAATCATTTTCTGTAGTGCGCTAACACGTCTATTTCCTGCCATTATTCTTGCTACAATTTCCTGAGTTACAATTGATTTCTTTAGAAATACGGCTCCTACATATCCTCAAACTTGTATCGTTTCTCTCTCTCAGAATCTACTTGTAGACATCTTCCCTTCCCAAAATCCTTATCTGACCACTCCATAAACTTAGTTTTCTTTTCATTAAACACTAAGCCTGCTTTTTGTGCTTAATCTTCTAGTCTTTTGGTCACCGATATCAGCTCTTTCCGATCTCTTGCTAAGATAACTCCATCTGTTTTTTAGTTTGATATGTTAAAACGATCTACTTTATTATAAAATTATACAGGGTATTAAAAGCAATAGTGCACTTTATTAAGATTTCATATACTGTAAAAGATTAAGTGATTTATTATACCTACATCATGTTTTTTATATATCTTCTTTCAAAGACTAGCCTTATTACATGACTTTCATACAGATGAGAAAATTGAATAAGCTTCGAGATAAAGTTGTATTAACGAAAATAAAACGTGTGATTTTAATGTAGAATAGAATACCTATATATTTAGGTAAGCTATATAGCAACATGGTTATGAAAACATATAGGTAATAAATACTTGAAGACGTATTTTCAATTCAACATTGCTCTAGTTTGTTTTTATTTTAGCTACGGATGTTAAAAGTCATATCTTAAATACTGTTTTGTTGATTAATCCATCCATAATCAAGGATTAATCTTAAGAATGATATACAGGGTGTTTCAAAAAATATGTGCGTGTTTTTCATATCAACATAGGTCCGATTCTGCTTTGTTTCGTAGCTACAGGGTGTTAAAATCTTATTATTTTTTCGATTTATTCTAATTTTCTTCCACCGTAACTTTTACCCTCAAAATTTCAAATTTTGAGGGTAAAAGTTACTATATAAATGCGACATATTTTAAAGCTAAAAAAGCGTCGACATATTTACCAGTGACGTGCAGATGGGTTATGACTGGAATATTTTTCTAAAAAAAGCATGTACACCACTGACTTTTTTCTCTTGTTAGCGAAATAGTGTAAACAGTTTAATACCGATTAAAAGTTGTCCTCTTGATATTTTGTCGTTTTCGGCCTCCTTGATGAGATAAACGCAATTTTATTAATTTACCTGGATTCAAGTCTGATAGAAACCTTTAAAAAATGTTAATATCATTAACTTGCGAAAGCTTTAAATAAGTACTCATTGATTCCTCATCAAAAAATATGAAAAAAAGTTCTTATAAACATGGGTATGGAAATACATAGTTTTATTAAACTATTACAGTTACAGGATTTTAAAAAATGTTAAAATAGGTTTTTTGTAATTATCTTAAATACCATTAATTTTTTATTTGAAATTGCTGTAGGTTGGACTAATAGTAATAATAACTAACAATAATAATATTTAATAATAATTTAGGTAAAATATATAATTTACTAATTTTATTTTTATTTTAATTTTATTAATTGTGATTAATAAAATTGCGTTTATATCATGAAGGAGGCCGAATTCGACAAAATATCAAGAGATAATTTTTAATTGATATTAAACGGCCTACACAATTTTGATATCAAAAGAAAAAAAGTCAGTGGTGGCACATTTTTTTAATATTCCAGTGATATCCCCATATGCACGTTCTTGATGAATTTATCGACACTTTTTTGGCATTAAAATATGTAGAACTTATAGTAACTTTTACCCTCAAAATTTTATTCGAATCACTAAAAGTACTTGGAAGAAAATTATAATAAATTGAAAGATTATTAAGACTGTAGCTAAGAAACAAAGCAGAATCGGACCTATGTTGATATGAAAAATATATCTTATTTTTTGAGGAATCTCCCCACGAAAGATAGCACATGTTTTTTGAAACACCCTGTATAGATAATATAAGCATTATAATTTTAAGGTATAACCCTAATAACTGATATTATACATCTTAGGGGATAATTCTTTAGACCTTCTATGAAATCAAGTTAATATATAAGTTTATATAATTTTTTTACGAATTTGGTATCAAAAGGTAAGGTAAAGGTACTGCTTTGCTTTATTTAAGACACACACACACACATATTTAATATTAAACATTTAATAAATCAAAATAGATAAACAAGAATAAAATTAGAGCAATGTAAGATCGAAAGTGTAATTGTATGGCCTGTTTAACCTTATTTCTTTATGATCATGCTGCCATACTACCCAGAGGCGTGCGGTCCATGGAAGCGGGGAAAGCGCCGCTTCCCTATACGTTGACAAAAAGACAACAATGTTGACAAACAATTTTAATTAATAATTCGAATGTCTATCGGTACTCATCTCGAATGTCTGTAGGTATACATAAATATTTTTCGACTTTTTTAATTACCTTTGTCGTTTACCTTCTTCCAAAAATTTTACCGCACGCCACTGTAACTATTATATACCTATATAGGCTAAGACAAGTTACTATTAATATTAATAATGAAAAAATATTTATATCCATATAAAATGCGATATATTAGTGCAATCAATTTTATTAACTGATCGAATTTTCTGAAGTTAGAGTATATTTGATCCAATATGGTTATGAAAAAGAAAAAGGCTTGGAAAAAAGGAATTGCTCCAGGTACAAAATAATTAAATATAATGTGTATACCGGGTGGTGCATTGTCGTTGGAAAATCCCATACAAATTTTGAACTGTCTCCCCTATTAACTTTACAGAATAGGGGTTTTTAAAGGTCTACCTATGCTGAATACTAGAGGTGGGCAAAGATTGAAAGAGTCATTCATTTGAACGAGTATTAAAAATGAATCGTGTGATTCGATTCACTGTTTAGAATACGGTTCGTTCAATTGAATCGTGGCTAGCACGGATCCATAAAATATGAACGATGAGCAGTAAAAAAAGAGTCGTGAGAATTGAATCGAATCACAATGCGATCATTCGTTTCTACATACGACTCGTTCGTTCAAAGAGTCGTGGGAGTTAATTCATTGCTTACAATACGATTCGTTCAACTGAATCGTGGCCAGCACGGATCAATAAAATTTGAACGATGAGCCGTAAAAAAGATTCGTAAGAATTGAATCGGATCACAATGCGACTAGTTCGTTTCTACGGCAGTGATAGGCATATCACTAGGCATAGAGAGAGTCGGACACCAATATTTAGACTTGAACGAAAGCCCTAAACAAACATCATGGGCATAAAATGCAAACGATAAGAAATTTTCTTTACAGGAAGAATACTTATTTATACTGTGCTTAGTACCGACGGGAATATCTGTATAATGCATTTAATTTTAACGTTAATATTTTTGTTAAAATAATATTCACCGACTATAAATCATTAAATATCGGACTAAAAAACGAAGTCGTGTTTTTATACAACTTCAAATAAATATGGCCTCTGCTCAATATGATAAAATAAAAACGTCGTCGGCGATGGTTATGAAGTGAAAATCGCTGTCATTTTGTACCTATGTAAAATTATATGGGGACATAAGGAATGTCATCGATGTTCATTTCCAAGTTAACTGGACGCCATTTTTTGCGATCATGCGATATTATATACTATTTATTATATGATTATTAAATCGGAACTAAAATACGTTCTAAAATAATTATTAAATTGGTATTAAGAAGTCTTTAAAAAATAGTATGAACCTATATGAATTGGATTGATAATTTATTATTATTGGTAAAAAAAATAATCCAATTACGCCAGTGCTGTAAAATAATGTTGAAAAACAAATGAAAGAACTATATATTTCTTTTTCTGGTCCCTTAAATAATTGTCCGACCAAATTATCGCCGGTAGTGCCAGTTACGATTCTTGTTTTTATGAAACGTAAATTGTGCATGTGGTTCGTTCAAATGAACGAATCGTAGAAGTCGATTCAATATGAGAAATTAAATCGTGTGATTCGATTCACTAAAAAGAATCGTAATGCTCATCACTACTGAATACACGTGCCAAATTTTAACAATTTTGGACTAGCCAATTTTAAGTAATTTAGGAAAAACTGCATCTATTTTTAGTAGTTCAATAAATAACGTGTCAATTTCAGTAAAAAATAGATACCTTCTTAGTATTTTGTATTTTATGACTATTTAAATAATTACTAAATTATGTTTAGTCCCTTAAAATTCCAAAATAGTCCTAACTATATTTTGCGCTTGGAGCAAAATAATAAACAGGTTTTACTATATCTCATGTTTGTCAAAACTGTAACAAAATTCTCGCTTGTCATCATAAAAATGATAATATAAAATTTACTATTTTTAAGACTTTTTTATTATGGGACAGCTGAATATATGGCTTATTTTATAACATTTTAATACCATTCTAGTATTTAAGATCGTGTCCTAAACTCAATAATTATTAGACAGGTGTATAATTAACTTTTATACAATAGATACTATAATATTTATGAGATCCTCTACTAAAAATTGATAACCATTTATTTCAAGAGAATTCTGTCTTTTTTACTATTTTAGATACTTTCAATATATTTAAGCTAGGTTTAGGTGCATTATGTATGTTCTCATGTATCGTTTCATTATCTTTTTGTACATCTATTTCTCCAATATACTTTCGACAATAATTAATGTTGTATATGTTGTATAAATAAATGTTGGAAAACTGAAAAAAAAACAGCAGTGTTTGATTTATATAGATGTATATTTATAATGCCTTTGGTAAATAAAAAATTACAAATTACGTATACATATATTCTACATATAAAAAGATTACAGTGGTTAAATTTATATAAAATAATAAACTATTGCCCTATGCCTAATTATAAAATAACATAAAATTCGTTTAAAAAAAGCATAACAGATCTGTTTTGATGACTAGTTTGTCAAAATTATTAATATTATTTTTTTTTTCACAGTGTATCAGTAAATAGAATAAATTAGATAGTAAATACGAGGGAGTGTTTGAAAATACGCACAGACACGTCAATGGGTTTTTTAGTTGTGCATTTTGGTAAACTTTCTTATTTTAAGTGTGATACGTACAATTTTTGGATTCTGTAAAAAAATCTAGACATATTTCATGTACATACATCTTCAATTGTTATTAATTATTACTTTTAATTTTTGTCTTATTGCAGGACAGTAAGTGTTATATAGTGATGTTGATTTGGAACAGGATCTGTTATTTTCGAAATAGGTTTTGATTGTAACTTGTTTGGAACAAATATTGCTCATATGCTGTTCTGTTGCTGTTCTAGTTCCAGCTGTTCTAAGACACTGTGACACAAATTAGAAGTTTGTGAAGAAGCAACAAGAACTGCTGTAATTTATGAGAATCAAATTGGAAACAGCTAAGTAAAAAGAACTGGTTACTACAATATGATCGAAAAAAAAACGGTGTTAGCGATGACTGTGAAATGAAAATCGCTGTCATTTTATATACAAAATTATATGGGGATGTCATCGATTGTCATTTCCAAGCCAACTGGAGGCCGTTTTTTTTTCGATCATACGGTATTAATTGTAAGTAATAACATAGTCATGGCGGCGATTTTTTAATAACAGCTCACCTTGAGCGAGTTAAAAAACACACCTGTTCCAAGAAACCTATTTCAGTTCCAAAACGTAGATTATGCCGTACTTCTGTAACCTATTTCAGTTTTCAATAACACTAGAGCGTTTTTGCCGATATCGCCTCCTCTATATTATCATAATATTAAAATGTTATATAAATTAAAAAAAAAATACTATGACTTTGTTATTTACAAAAAAATAATTCTTGGGAGTATTTAAATTTAAATATTCGATAATGGCAACAATTCGGGGAACGCTTTAGTGGTATTGAAAACTAAAACAGGTGTTACAGAGGGAACAGCATAACCCAAGTACGGCATAAGCTACGTTTTGAACTGATACAGGGTTTCTTGGAACAGGTATGCTATGGAACTGGAGCAGGTTGTACCTGTTATTAAAAAATCGCTTTATAGTGTTATAGTCGTTTGAATTTCGTTACATATAAAAATGGTTTATTTATAGTATTGTGCAAAATACCAGTTCAACACAGATGATGGGTTGGAGAGATAATATAGACTCAAATAAAAATTGCTCGCCTATTTCATAAATGAAATCCAAATTTGCCAACTATTTTCAAAATATAATTTGTAAAATAGAAAAACAGTTTTGTAAGCTTGGACATGACTATGAAATAATACCAATTAAGGAGAACAAAGTTGGCATTAGCCACTGTTGACGACCAAAACGCACCCTATATAAAAACTTCGAAAACGAAAATATTTTCAAGAGCAAAATAAAATGATTTGTTTTATAAGCAAACAACTTCCAATTATGTCTGTGTATGATATCGATAACCAATCATCTATAATATTGTTTTGAAATAAAATTGATTTGTTTTTTTTTTAAATTTCTCCATAAGTAAGTAATGCTATTTAAAATATATATAGCACGCCCATGAATTTCTATTCAACACACAATTTTGTTTCCCCCCGCCCCATTAGGCATGCTCCGCTAAAGAACGGATAGACGTACTGTATGTACAGGGTGTCCCACTAAGAATAGCTGTCGGCTGTATCTCGGAACGTATTAGCCGTAGAGCTTACGGAAAAAAATATTTATAACCAAAGGGGCTATGAGAAATTGCTGGAAATTATTTTCAAGTTTGTAAAACGGCCGCTAGAGAGCGCAACTGCTATGAAATATAAGAAAATAAAAATACTAAAATTAATAAATTTTTTACAGAATTTTGCCTAGATAATGGGTACTATAAATAATAGCTTCATAATCTTTATTAAATTTTGATTTTTGTTGTTAGAACCATTTTCTCCTATGTATCTGCTAAAATAAAGTGATGGGGGAAGGTTAGATCTAACTTTATTTAAATGTTAATAACTCCGGACTGGATGATCAGAATCCAACAAACGAGGGCTCGTTTAAAAGAGCGTTTTTTACAATTTAACAAACATAGCGCGTTTTTTAAAAAAAATTAAATGCGATAGTATATGTAATTTTAGCTGATAGTAAAGAGTAGTAAAAGCTTAAAAAGTCAGCCAAAAACCGCATCTTGATAACTTCTTTCAAACCGAAGATATTAGCAAAATCATAATAAATACCAAAAAATAAGCCCGTAATTACCTTATTTTTACAACACCGTATCAGTAACCCTCTTGATTATGCCCATTCTAACAAAAAAATAAGATAGAAACAGTTAGTTTATTTTAAAATCGACGAAATACCAGAATAACATAATACCAGATGTATTAATATCTAATAATTAAGATATTAATAACAGTGAACAAGCAACGATGATTCAGTGAAGTCATGGTAGGCTTTAAATAAATAATAATAAAGGCATTTTGAAAAGATAAAAAAAATAATTAAAAGATAAAAAAACGCTGCTAAAACTAGGTCTTTGCATGGAAAATAAAAAAGTTGATATTATCTGTTATGCTGTTACATGACACACCCTATATAAAGTTTTTGTTGGAAAAAATGCACAACTAAAAATACCAATCGATGTATCCAAGCGCGTTTTTCGAACACGTCCTCAATAAATTATTATCAATTTTTCTCAATTTGGCTGATACAAACGGTATAATATGAGATATAACAGATTTAAATAATATAATATTTGAGTTTAAAACATCTGATTATTGATAAAAATAAAAAAGTTCAAGTAAATTATCGCCAACAATGAACTCATAACAAGATTAAAAGTACTAAACTTAGAATACCTTCTTATCCTAAAGATCCTACATAAAAAAGATCATACTCATCCAGTCTTTCAATAATTTTAGAGATTACAAAAGTTATTTCAAAAATATCTACACGTTGTTGCCTATTTTATTAGTTTATAACAAAACTGTGTATCAAAAAACAACTTGCTTTTATAAAGAAAAATATTATTTAATATAATAAACAATGGTCAGTATTGGGAATATTATACAGAGCCCACACAAAAAAGTGTTCTGTTATTTTTTGTTGTCAGATATGTAAAATTTACTAAAGGAGTTAATTATTGCTTCTCTAAAAACCAAAAATTATGAATATCATCATAGTTGCGTGAATTTGTCGATCTGCCAAATTTGTTACTTCATATTGAAAAAAAATTTTTGAGAAACGCCACTAAAATTTTTGAAATAAGTTGTTTGATAAAGTTGTTTAGTTTTTTCCACCAATAAAATTTAGCAGTCTACAATAATTTCTTTTTTTTTGTCAGTATTTCGATTGTGATCAGTCCATGTCAATGTTAAATCTTCCATCAGTCCATGTTAATGTTAATAAATGTCAAATTTGACAGGTAGGTACACCAAGTCGCGTATATATGACAGTACCTATACTTAATTTTTGATTTTTGGGGAAACAAAAACTACAATATTTAACATCACCTGTCTATAACAATAAAAAATCCCACTATATACAGCCTTGTTAATGTTGACTTTAATAATATAACATAATTTTACCTGTTATTAGAACTTTGCATATATACAGAGTTCAGATGAAGCTTCATATTGAGAGTCCTGCTTGAAATTTTAAAGTTATTTTAGCCCTGTTTTAATATACTTACAATATGAAACTGAGAAATACGTTTTAAATTTAGGCTCAATTATACAGAGTGTTTCGATAAAGCTCTTTCTGAGATTTAAAATTAATTTTAACACTATTTTAAACGAAACACCCCGTATTTTTATATAAATGTCAAACCAACGATCTCTTACTACTTTAAATCGTAACAAAAAAGAAAGTGTGGCGGATCAGGTGGAATTGGTGGAGGATCTTGAGGAATGGCCACTCCCTCGGCATCCAACAGGCGCAGTTTGATTTCCATACTCAGCAACGTATCCAGATCTTTCTCAGTCTCTTTGCTGGTCATTCTTTGACCAAGTAAAGCGTTAATACCGTCAGTCCAATAAGCCAAAGTTAATTCGTCTGGCGCTACGCAGTCCAAACTTTGTAAGTCTACTCCTAAATGAAAAAAAAACAATCATGTAACATTTAAAAATACGACTGTTGACTGATTTTTTCTAAATTGTTTTTACCATGTTTAAAAAATAGAAGAGCAACAAATTTTATTAATTCATTACACATTACATATTTAAAACAAACGGATTATGTTTAAAACTTGTGTTTTAAACATAATCCTTTCTTTGGAGTTCAAAAAGTGTTTAAAACAATAAAAACTGTTTTAAGTCTAAGAATACATGATTGTTTAAAAATAAAAGTTACCTTCAAGCGCCAAGGAAAAAGCTAGCTGCGTATGCGATGCCTTCCGTCCGCGCATATGGGGACAGTCCCTGCCAACCAGCAAAGCCCTAATATCGCTAACGGCCAACTTAGATGGCAGCTCTTCAGCCGATGGTGCCGATTTCTCGTCGCAATCGCCATAGTGCAAGACTTTGTGATTGGGCGACAACCGCATAAACCAAAACTTATCTTTAATCCTTTGGCCGCGAGGAGAGTACTTGGTAAAACGCGTACCTGCTTCGAATAAGTAAATAGTAACATATAGATAAAACAATAAAAGTTGCCGTGCACGTCATCAAAGAGTCGATAACTATTACCAAATTAAATATCTAATAAATAAAAGTTAGTTTGAAACTGAACGCACTTTTCCTTTTTCTTGTAATCTTACATCTTATAAAAAAGACATGTTGACAAAGATTCATGTTGGTAGTCATGGCAATGTTGCCAATTTTCAGGGAGATATTTTTAATTGCAAATCTAATAGTCTAAAGAGCTAGCAACGTTTTTGAGAATGTATTTTAAGAAAGCTGACTCTTTAATATATCTTTTGCTATGCTCTCTGGAACAGCGTGCGAGTTGTCTGGCTGCCGATAGACGTTGATTCTGTGGATGACACCTATTATCTGGGTCTTTTGTCTTATCCACTCTATTCTTTTACGGCCGTTGAGCGTTGTGCGACCTGCAGTATTCTTATAATGTCCGTTTTAAGTGTCCAGGTTTCACATGCATGACTGGTAGTACACATTGGTCGAATGTTTTGTTCCTTAGATAAAGTAGCATTCAAGACTTGAATATGATTGAGTTTCTTCCATAAGTACTCCAAGTTAACTTTGTAATGATTTGAGATTAAATATATGCGTATTGTTTAGTTAAAACTGCGATTTTCATTCCAATAAAATGTCAAAGCCATTAAATAGTAGGAATTAGCAACTTGTCTCGTCTCTACTCAATTATTTTGAACAGAAGAGAGATCATGGCGAACCCAATCTGCGATTAAACTGTGTTAGAAAGGTAAAAATTTATATTGTTAATTAAATTCCGCGGCTTTTACAGAAAATACATACATCTTTCAGTATGCTATTAGAGCAGAATTAAATTTTAAGCAATTAATGCCCACTTGCACTGTTTGTATAAACTTTGTTTAAAGGATAAACAATGATTAACTATAATAAAATATCATATAATTAATCACTGTTTAGCCTTTAAACAAAGTTTATACAAACGGTGCAAGTGGGCATAAAACTTTACATTCTTCAGCTTTCTTTATTCAGGAAACTTGAGAATAGTTAGTAGAAACTAAACTGAATAGAATGACATTTCATATGTCAACTTTTGACATTTTCGCATATAGTTTATTTGAAATTCTAACATGCGGTTCATAACAACTTGACTCGAAATATCAAACGTGTGGTACCAATTATTTGTAAAAAAAGATTTTTCCAATATGCTAATGAGCCACCCTCGTTGAGATATGATTAAAAATACGATTTGGGCATCTTTTAACCGGCTAGGACAAGACACGAAAAACATTAGACAATCAGAACTAATCTTCCCAGGCTCCTTGATTAAGAATTAGTGTTTTTAGCACATCCATGGCACTCTAGGTTGAAATTTAAATACGATTTTTTTTAAAGCGAAAATGTCAAAGTTCACATATGATATGTCATTCTATTCAGAGTGTCATTTTCTATCGAATAAAGTAAAAAAATACCCAGGGTGCCGTTTAAAAATCAAAAGTTGGAGTCATTTCCAGTGAAACAGGAAGTGATCAAAAAGAATTGAATTCATCAATCAGTCCTAATTTATGTCATATACTAACATACCAAATCCCGCTTTTTTATCTGAAAAAAATAAAAGTTATAGGGGTGAGCCACTTTCGAGACGCACCCGGTATATTGTGTGTAAAACTTAAGTGAAAATTTTATTTGATACTTGATGACGTGCACGCCAAGTTTTATTGGTATCCCTATATATTTAAAGGGTTTCTTTAATTATTTACCTTCTATTAAAAACGCTAAACGCTGCTGTTTAATTAGACCCATTATTTCAGGAGTAATAAGCTCGCGAAGTTCGACAACTGGTTTAGCATGACTCTCCCATTCCTCTCTACTATTTCTATAAAAATAAACAATAAAAAATCAGTAAAAATATGATTTGATAAAAAATCCATAATAACCTCTCAAGCTGCCACAACTGAGTTATCTCAGAATAAGTTAAAGACTGAAGCTTAGCTTTCAATTGGTCTAAGGAAGGAGGAGATACATCCAAAGCTCTACTAATTTGCTCCCTAACAACACTTGCCACCTATTACATAAAAATACTGGATAATCAAAATTCTTTGAATTAGGTGAGGCGTTAAAATATTTTATTTGACCTAGACCTTAGATCAGCCTACTTGATAGCGGCAACTGACAAGCATGATCATTTGTTTTACTTATCACTATTATTGTTTGATTCACAGGTCACAAATTACCTATAACAGATGCGAAAGAAAGCGACTGCATCGGAAACCGCTCGGCAAACCCGACACGCCTATTGAGTGGTGTAAATACACCAGTCGTTTAGTCCGGAAACCTATGCTGTGTCGTATTCGCTTGCTGGAATGACATAGTGCGTGGTTATATGTTTCTTTTAAAAACGCGTGTAGGATTTTTTGTTGAACTTTTGAACTGTTATTTCTAAGTTTTGGTAATTTGTATATCTTATTTAAAATGGGATGCAAATGTGTTTATTTATAAGGAAAAAAAAGATATTTATAGTATAAAAAATTAATTTATTTAACAAAATTTAATTAAAAATGTTACAAAATAGTTACCTTTCTATTGGTTCTATCGGACTTTTTTCGACTATATAAATCTTTATTTGTAAACTTTAATACATCAAATATTTTCAATCTAATTAATCATTTAATGATGTAAATAAGAGGAAATTTCTCACATGGGTGGTCAAATTTTATAGTTTTCATTATATCAAACAGCCTCTGAGAAATGTTTTCAACTCAAAATGCCTTTAATTATGTTTGACTACATCATTAAAAAGGGTCTTCAAATACATCAATGTGATATTTGTCTAAAATTTGCAAAAAAATCCGAATCTCTGGATAACTCGAAATTATTTACCCATTTAAAAGCCTTTGATCATGAAAGTGGAAAAATTTGTTCATTTTATTTACAGGCTGGAAAAATTATTTATATTAAATTTTGATGAGTTTTGCACTGAAGAAAATATTCAGAGGCTGTTTGATATAATGAAAACTATAGAATTTGACCACCCATGTGAGAAATTTCCTCTTATTTACATCATTAAATTATTTATTAGATTGAAAATATTTTATGCATTAAAGTTTACAAAAAATAAAGATTTATATAGCCGAAAAAAGTCCGATAGAACCAATAGAAATGTAACTATTTTGTCACATCTTTAATTACATTTTGTTAAATAAATTAATTTTTTATACTATAAATATCATTTTTTTTCCTAATCTCCTACGAGCTGATATAATATGACGAGCAATCTATTAAATTACTGTGAGATTATACAGAAAAGTCCACAGACTTCGAGACATAGGAAAATCAAGTCCATTTAGCGTTTGTCCAAATTTTGACAAGTTTTCAAAAATGACAGTTTTGTTTAGACTGACGTTTAATTTCACCTGACTTCTCAGTGAATGATTTCTTTTTAGTGGGTATATAAAATCTAAAATTTACGGCCATGAAGAAATTCAAAACTTGGAGCAGTTAAGGCAGAAAATATTTAATGCCTTTGACACTGTCACCCCTGATATGTTATCCAATGTGAGGAGGGGATTTTATGATCGTTTGGGTTATTGTTCAATGCAAGAGGGAGGCACTTTTGAACAATTTTTGTAATTTTTTAAATTTCATTATCCTGTTTTTTTACCGTTTACTCATTACCTACCTTGACGAACATGGGAAAACGAAGGTCCTTTTCAGGACCACAAATATTTTGATTGAGAAAATTGGTTGTTAATATAATACCAATTTAAAACTGTTTTAGTAGTTTTAATACACACTATGATATAAAATTTATTATTATTATAATATACATTATTAATACTATTGTTCATTCGAAATGGCATTAAGGCCCAATTGCAACAATGATTTAAATTTTTCTTAAAGATAAGTAGAGCTTAGAATGAGCTGTATTTATATTTACTTTAATATTCACCTTAAATGAGGGAATTTGACTGATACAATTTTTGAATTTGAATTGTTTTTAATGATACTAATAATTTTAGTTCAATTTTTAATAAAATTCATTTAATATTAATAGAAATCGAAGAGATTTGAAACCTCTTTTAGCGATTTATAACATTCTCAAATGAATTACAGGTGCCCTTATTTTCTATGAAAATCACACAGCTTTTTTCATAGTCGCTGCAGTTCCTATAGCTATAAAAAACTAATTTTTTAAGGTGTGAAAATTGCGACACACGCTAAATGGACTTGATTTTTCGTATGTCTCGAGGTCTGTGGACCTTTTTGTATGCCTCGATAACATATTGGTGCAGATTATTTTCACCCAAACAAATAATAACCCAAACTATACATTGATGCGGATTGTCTATGAACTCTTTCTGAAGGTCACAGAAACCTGAACGCGTAATTGGGTGTTCTTTCGCATCTGTTATAGGTAATTTGTGCACACGTTTTTATAGGCTTGGAGCATTCTTCGCCGGTGCTGCCACCATCGGAGAATACTGTAAACAGCCGACTAAACAAATACACGGGTTTAAATAGCTAGTACACAAAAAAATTGTTATAATATTATTTGATAAGTACAGGCAGTCCTCGATTTACGTCGTTTCGTGTTACGTCGTCGTTTCGAGTTACGTCGAACAAATTTTTGTCACTATTCCTCAAAGTTACGTCCCACTGTTTCGAGTTACGTCATTTTTTGAAAAGAACGATCCAAATTTTAAAAGAAGTTTGGACATAAACAATAAAATTTTAGCAACATACAAGCAGGGTTGACAGATCCTCATAATGAAAAAGCGGGACAGTGTTGACCATTACTTAATTAGCAACTATTACGACTTTTGACGATACCCACAATAAAAGTTCCAACCAAAAAAAATAAATATATACTTTCTAAATATGTCTACTTTACTCTCTGGTATTTCTGTAGTTATCATATTAGTATATACGTCGTACAAAATAAAAACCGTTGCGGGCTATCGATTAGGCTAATAAATGTGTGCAGTGCTACGACTACACAAATATGGCCCTTATGAGACGTTTTCAATGAGTTTTAAATCTCCCACTCGATATTATGTTGGCAACGGCGAGGAAGCGGTTGCAGCGGTGCCACGTTTATTTGACATTTGCCAGAATTTTCTGAACGTTAGTTGAGGGTGCATCCACACTATCCTAAAAACGGCGTATCAGCGTAACGGCGTAATGACCTTGAATAGATTTCCAGTAATTCTATTGGCTGAAAAATTCATCTGTCAGAAATTTTATCTGTCAAATTCATCTGTCAAAAATTTCAGCCAATAGAATTTCTGGAAATCGATTCAAGGTCGTTACGCCGTTACGCCGATACGCCGTTTTTAGGATAGTGTGGATGCATCCTGAGAGCTGTGTCTCGTGTGTATTGAATCTTTTAAAACCTTTATCTATCGATCGAAAACTGTTGTTTTCAGAATATTTTGTGTAGTAGTTGTTAGTTTTTTCTTTGTTGATTTGATTACAATCTGGCAACAATGCTGTCTACAATCAACGCACGTGCTCGATGACATGCAATGGTTTTTATTTTGTACGACGTATATGTATTATATTTACTGTTATATGGATAGTTAAAAATACTTTTTTGATTAGATAATGAAAAAACGGGACTGTAAAAATTCTTGCCCTAATTTGTTTTTCATAAAAAAAATACTGTTTTTATATTTTTGCTTTTTTTTCTCATACCTCAATTATTTAAAAATACAATAATATTAATATATACAAACGCACATCTCTTTGTTTTATCGTATTTTTATCTTACAAAAGTACCTAACTTCTCCATTTTCTATAGGATCTTATGACAAAATAAGATTCGATTAGCTTCGTTTCGACTTAAGGCGCTATTTTGAAGAACCTAACCTGCCGTAAGTACGAGGACTGCCTGTATTAGTAAGTGCAGTTTGTGAAAATTCTAAAAAAAATAAATCTTCATGTCTTCCGAAAATCTAATATGTATTATAATTTATTATTCAGAACAACGCAATTATGTTCTCCTCTTCGTGCTAATATTTTTTCGGCAATCATTTGAAATTATCACAACATAACGCGTCGCCCAATTTGGGTTCTTTTTCGCTTTAATTTTACTACCGAAATAGTGTTACATCACACAACTTTTGTAACTGAGAATTTTATACTTTCAATAACTGTACTAATAAAAACTAAAATACTTAAATATATGACAACCAGGACTGCCTGAAATGTAGAGCCGGAAAGTTCCGATTTCTGCCGTGCCGGGCGCTGCTGTCGAAATTTTAAAAATCGATTGAAATGCACCAAGCCTATACAAAATAGTGTGTGCTAGCTGTGAAATATTATTTGAGGACACAATTGTCAGGAATATGGGTTACATAAAAATATGACAGATTTTTTAACAACAGTTTGAAATAGTACAAATCTTATAGTTTAAGGTAATATAGATCTAACTTAAATATAGATAGTATTCCACCACCTAATCTAATTACAAAATATTTAGCACACATGGGACAATTAAAAAGACATGTTATCTTACTTTTCCAAAATCTTCTGCTGTAGCCCTCATTTCCTTCCAAGTTTTATTCAACAAAACTATACAGATACAATAACATTCTTCAAAAGGATGATCATGAGTAAAGAACAAAGGCTGATAAGTATCACATTGCTCTGAAGGTGCTTCTCCAATTTTTAACAGCTCACAAAGTATTCTTACCAACTCTACACTAGCCCTACCGAAAGGACACTCATGTTCATCTGCCCGACAGCTATTCTCTAGAACTAGCTTAGTGTAGTTTTCTGAATGATTTCGAGCAAAATAGATCATACAGTCTAAAGCCAAAAGACCTGTGAAATGAAATTAAAATAAATTTCAGTTAATAGAAAAGCAAAGTTTTAATTTAACCTGGAGGTGTCTCAGTAAAATCTAATGCTGGATTTATATCATTCTTAAAACCCAATTTTTTGTAATCTCTGGTAAAAGCCTGATTGCCTCTCAAATTTCCCGCGCCTTCACTATCAAAAGCAATCCGTCTCAATTCTTTGATTTTGTCATGGCCATCTTGATCCTACATTAAATAAACAGTTTAATAGGTATTGTTGTGTTAATGAAGTTTAGAGATATTTTACAAAATAAGCACAATACAGTACAGAGAAACAATAATGTATATTGTGATGACTATAGATTTAATTATAAGAAAAAAATATATAAAAACAAAATTGGTATTTGTTTAACAGTCGACAAAAAAAAAAGATTAAAAATACACACACCTGTTGATCCATTTTTGTTAACATTCTTTGTTCTAAAAGACCCAACATTAACGTTTGTAAAACATACAACTGATGTGCCATTTCAGCTCCACTGGAAGCTCCAGTTTGTAAAATATGGTTTTGAATAACAGTACGAAATTGCTTAGATGTAAGAGTCTGAGCTAAAATCATCACAG